AAGAAGTTTTTAAAAATGGTAAATTTTATTATCTTATATATGTTAGTTACTCAGTCATGTCCAACTCTTTGCCGTCCCATGGATTGTAACCCATCATGTTCTTCTGTCCATGGGATTCTCCAGGCAAGAGAATCCCACTGGAGTGGGCTGCCATTCTCTTCTCCAGGGGATGTTCCTGGCCCAGAGATTGAACCCGGGTCTTCTGCATCGCAGACAGATTCTTTACCATCTGAGCCACCTGGAAAGCCCCATCTTATGTATATTTTATCACAATTTGTAAAAACCTCCAAAACCTCAACTTAGAATTCCTCTCCCTCAAGAGAGCCATCTTCAAAGCCCAGCTCCAAGTCAGAGCTGCCCGGGAGAAACCCCAAGCCCTGCAGGGACAGGTCCCAAGTTTCATCCAGCCGCGGCCACTCGTCATCCGGCCGGGAAGGTCGGGCGCTGGGGCCACCATGAGTCACCAGCACACACAATGGTTCATTCAGAGACAGTGCCGGGCGTGTTCTGCGTTGGAATTTCTCTGTTTGCTCAGCCTAGGAGTTCTCTCCCCAGCCAGGTACAAGTGGATCTCAACCCTGGTTGTCTACACACCATCCTCCCTCTTGACTGCCGGTCCGGGAAACTGTTAGATCCATGAACAGAGGACCTGGGAGCCGACGCTTCCGCACCTGTGAAGTCAGCAGCTGTGGCTGGAGGAGCCTGAGCCCCCCGCCCCAACCCCTTACCAGCGAGCTCAGAATCCTGAATACCTGGATCCACCAGGTATCTGTCTCCCCCCCTGCCAAGAACACGAGTGCAGTGAAGGCAGCGCTGTGCTGGCTACTTTCACCAGCTTCCGGGAGCTGGCTGAGCACAGCGCATCCCAATTCCATCCTGGCCTGAAACCACCCACGGTGGATGCACTTACACGATGGAAACTGACAGACACAACCTGTCAGGGATTCCCCCCCAGAGAGCCGGACATCAAATAATGACCAGCCCATCACTGGGTATAAGTGTTAAATTATTAAGACTGATGGCCATTTCAAGAGAATACTGCATTTTCTGAATCTCAAAAGACTCCAAAAGACTGTCAAAGGTCCCCCTCTAGAGACAGTCCATCCTGCAGTGACTGCCCAGAGAAGTCAGCCGCGGCTGACTACCACCAGAAGTCACAGACCCAAAGGCACTCAGCCTGGACCCCACGCCTTGTTCTCCCTGAGAGACCCCCTGCAGGACAGCCCTTCACACCCACTCAGTACCCAAGTTCAGACCATGTTCATTTTCTCATGTATTAATAAGACTGTTCAGAACTATGTAAGATAGAGATGAGGCAGTTTTCCTGCTTTTAGAAGTGTGAAAACAGCCCTCGAGAGATTAAATGAACTAAGAAGGTCAGTCTGTCAAGAAGCTGAAATTAGACCTGAGGAGGGCTGTCTGGTGGAAGGCTTAGAGGACTGTCAAGTACAGCTTCACAGGCTGTGCACTGCCCAACTCCGGGAAACACAGTTCAACAAAGTATTTAACCCCCGAGGCTATGAAACAGGGAGGCCTTGAGAGCTTAGGGGAAAAGGGAGTTAAATCCCTATAATCATTGGGATAAATTCTTTATAACAATACTCTCACTTTCTATGCCTTTTACTGTGTATGTGTCAGGAAGCCCAACTCTCATATCCATACATGACTACTGGAAAAACCATAGCTTTGACTATATGTACCTTCCTATGTTCATTGGAAGGACTGATACGGAAGCTCCAATACTTTGGCCATCTGATGCAAAGAGCCGACTCATTGGAAAAGACCCTGATGCTGGGAAAGATTGAAGGCAGGAGGAGAAGGGGACAACAGAGGGTGAGATGGTTGGATGGCAGCACTGACTCAATGGACATGAGTTTGAGTAAGCTCTGGGAGATGGTGAACGACAGGGAAGCCTGGTGTGTTGCAGTCCATGGGGTCTCAAAGAGTCGGACATGACTAATAACCGAACAACAACAGGAAGCCCAACTCCAGGGCTTATCATGGGGGCTCCAACCCCTCCCTGCTAGCATTTCAGAGAGGGAGGGACTCTGAGCTCTCCATGGAGATCTACGAACTTGTGAACATTTCCTAATTACTAACATAAAAGGCTGTGTTCACTTAGGTAGACTGAAACTGAACAACTGCCCCAAATTAATTAAGAACGTGAGCGGAAGTCTCTCTCTGTACAGAAACCTTCAGTCTAAAAGAGTCAAAAGGGGGTCCACCTCCCACTGGGGCTGGTCATCTTGGTGGCAGAGGAAAGCTGGAATTTTACTCTGTACTGCCAGCACCCTCAACAGGTGGGGAAGAAATCAAAACACATCGTAGTTCTGGGATGGGGACTTGCAGATGGAAAAGAAAATCAAGTTCAGCCAAATATTCCTCAGCGAAACTGAAGAGAATTGGAAAAACTCGATGACAATGCCCAAGCCTTCCATCCTTCAGACTGTTGCTGCCTAATCGTGTCCGACCGACTCTTTTTGTGACCCCCTGGACTGTAGCCCACCAGGCTCCTCTGTCCATGGGATTGCCCAGGCAGGAACACTGGAGTGGGTTGCCACGCCTCCTCCAGGGCATCTTCCCGACCCAGGGATGGAACCCGAGTCTCCTGCATTGACAGCAGGTGGGTGGGGGCCGCAGGCAGGGAGGAGGGCCTTGTCTGGGGCAGCACTGGGAGCTGGTCACTGCTTTCTACTCCCTGCCCTGGGATGAGCCTGCCGTAGCTGAGCACCCACAGACACCCTGGCTCACTCAGACACTGTCCGTGGGGGCTGCCAGCCTTCCCGGTCAGGACCGGTTCCCTAGAGCTGATCTCCAACCTCAGCCCAGGAAGACAAGCTTTCCCCTGGGATACGGGCAAGGCACTGCTTCCCTGCTCTTGGAACCTCAGCCTTTCTGCCCCTTTCAGGACAGAACAGCCTAGCGGGTGAAGGCAGCCCCTGATGCCATAAAAAAGGAGTTTAAAACCTAGTCACAGGTTCAAGGGGCTTCCCTTGTGGCTCAGCTGATAAAGAATCCGCCTGCAATGCAGGAGACCTGGGTTCGATCCCTGGATTGGGAAGATCCCCTGGAGAAGGGAAAGGCTACCCACTTCAGTATTCTGGCCTGGAGAATTCCATGGACTGTAAAATCCATGGGGTTACAAAGGGTTGGGCTTTTACTTTCACAGGCTCAAGAGGGAGGGAACATATACATGCTGCTGCTGCTAAGTAGCTGTAGTCGTGTCCGACATATATACACCCGTGGCTGATTCACACTGCTGTACGGTAGACACCAACACAACACTGCAAAGCAATTTATCCTCCAATTAAAAATAAATACATTTAAATTTTTAATAAAACCCACTTGCCACTTGAGGACTGCCCCACTTTCGGCAAGTCACCGGTGCCAAATGGACCATTAATTTACACACAAGAAAAATATTGCCAATCATAACTGTAAAATGCCAACAACTGTAACATATCTGAAACACCCAGATGTTATCATATAAAAAAAAAAACGTGTCATGGAATAGAGGAACGACAGCTCTTAAGCTTTCTAACAGTTATAGTTCCTATCTCAAGTTGTCAGGAGAGCTGAGTTAATACATTAAAACGCTTAAAACTGGGCTACGCTCAGAGTAAGCACCACATAAGGTCAGCTGTCATCTTCACATCCTCGTGATCGAGGAAAGGCCACAGGAATTTTTTATAACCTCAGAAAAAAATAAATCATGGCAAGGGAAAAAAAACCCTACAGAAACCCTTAGAAGGCAGCACATCTTCATGAAAAAATAGTAAGTGTTTAGAGGCCACTAGATCCAGGTCTGAATTCTAACTAAGCTTCTTAGGCAAGTGATTTTTACCCTCTGAGTCTGTTTCCTTCACTGAAAAGGAGAATAAAGACACAGTATCATGTTGGCTTGTTTTTAGGATTAAAGAAGCTAATGTATACTTAGCCACTGGCACAAAACAGACATTTAATACATGCATTTTGTCATGTGGGTACTGAGTGTTTTTCCTAAACACTGTTTGGAGATCATCACCATCATAGTTCAGAGGGAAAAAAAAACCACCCGACTAAAGAAAAAAGAGCCAGAAAAGTAATGGCAAACAACTGTGCTATTCTGCCGGCTGTAAAAATCCTCAGTCCAGGGAACACAGCTGCTGTGTGGATGTGGAGATGAACAGCTGCTGTGTGGATGTAGGCTTGGGAAGAGCCTGTGTTTGAGCAGCTCACAGCCTGATCTGGTCTTGGCCCCATAAGTCACCAGAGACACGGGGTGTTAAGTTAGACGGCAGAGAGGGGAGGAAAGAGGGGGTGCTGAGCTCCAGCGTCGCATCAGGGCTCCTGTGAGGCCCAGGAGTGCAGGGGTGACCGAGTGGCCTCACGGGGAGACTGTGACTCCCCAGCGGCAGCCAGGTCGATGGCTCAGCTCCTCGCGTCTTACACTGAGCAAGGGAGTCCTCTGCCCTTTCCAGGCGGATCATGCAGCCCAGTTCTGGAGCTCTTTCCCTTGCTCTCGCTCACACCCACCCTCGGTGCCCAATGGTCAGGCGCTGGTGGCTTTTCTCTCCTTGCCAATGATGCCCCATCCCAGCTCCACTCCTTCAAGGCACACTCAGCAGGTCCAGGGGCTTCTGACCTCTGACCTCCACCCCCTTCTAGAATACAGATTCCCTGTAAAACAACACACCAGCCCCTGGGAAGATGCCCCCCTCCCCTAGACCAGGCTGGAAGACCTGAGATCCCGGCGGGCACTCAGAGAAGGTAAGGTCCTTTGTGCCCAGGGTGGGAAGGAGTGCCAACAGGGGAGGACCAGGCTGCTCTCACCTTGACCTCTGCCCCAGCCAGGAGCAGCCGGCTCAGTGAAATAAAGAACATTTTAAAGGAGGGTAGCAGCTGAAATAACAACTAAATCCCACAGCCTCTCCAAACTCACATAAGAGAAGCTCTGCCCAACACCAGAGTTCTATAGCCCTGTGAGTGTGACAGCTGCCGCCCTCCACGCGGGTACTCACCGGACTTCAGTCTGAGCTCCCCCAGGCAGCCGTAAGCATCGGTCAGCTTCCCGTACTGGCCTTTAATGACCTCCTTTTCTTCGGGGGCTGCGGGAGAAACACAGCACAGACAGCATCAGCCGAACCTCCCGGTGGAGTTCATTCACTGCAGCTTCTGATGCGGCTCCCACCCACTCGGCAAAGAAAACGCAGAGTCAGTAGCTCGGCCCCAAGTCATCTGCACGGAGGCTTGTGGATCAGCAGATCGCCGAGCTCCAGGGACTGAGTGAGACCTTCCCACCTGCTGTCTGAAAGCTCCGGCAGTGTCCCGGGGCGGGGGTGGGGGAGCTGCAGAGGCGGAGGAGAGTCCCCGGCCCGAAGAGGTGCTGGGGTTTGAGGCGGGAGCAGGTGTCTCAGGCCGGCCCCGTCCCTCGGCACTGCAGCCCACATGCTCAGAAACAGCACTGAGTCATCGCTCCCCAGTGGGGAGGACCTTCCTTCCTAAGTATCGTCCACCGGAGGCCGCATTGTGCAAGGGCCCACCTGCCCCCCGGGGACCTGTTAACACTCCAGAGCTGAGCAGGAGGCCTGGGTGACCCTGGTGCTCCAGGTCCAGGGCCAGTGAATCCCAAGGCAGGCTGATGAGCAGAGGTCCCCGGGGTCTTCAGAGTTGCTAGAAACACCCAGGACAACACCCAGCCTGCTGAGAAGCAAAAGAAGAAAAACTGGCGGAGGGAAGGACCGGGAGAAGCAGGGAGCCCTTAACCTTGACAGTGATATCACAGACACCATTGGAGGTGCCATGGGCTCTTACAGGGGCCAGGCCTTTGTATCCTTTTCTCAGAAGAACACTTTTAAATGCACAGGACAAAACAAAAACACGGATGAATCCTTAAATAAGGAGCCCACAAATACCATTAGGGTGACTTGTTATGGAAGCAAAAACTCAGCCTCAACTGAATTCATCTAACACAAGGGCCCTCCATCTGGGGAGACAGACGGAAAAGCCTGGCAGACACCACGGCTTCACAGGTAGCTTTGGGGAGATCTGTATCTCTAAAAAGTGAAAGTGAAAGCCGATCAGCCGTGTCTAACTCTTTGCGACCCCATGGACTGTCTCCAGGCCATAATACTGGAGTGGGTAGCCTATCCCTTCTCCAGTGGATCTCCCCAACCCAGGAATCAAACTCAGGTCTCCTGCATTGTAGGCAGATTCTTTACCAACTGAGCTACCAGGGAAGCCCTATAATCTCTAAAATTGTATGCAAAATTTTTGATATATATTTTTATGAGACTGGGATCTGAAATTTTCATCAGAATTTCCAAGGAACTCTAAGGTTAAGAACCGATTTAATAAATGACATTTTCCTCCAAAATTCACATGACTTTTTCTAATTAGGGCTTTTTGCTGGGGGAGGAAGGAGCAGGGTAACCTAAAGGTAATTACCCAAGAATCCACCTGCCAATGCAGGAGACTAGGGTTCAGTATCTGGGTTGGGAAGATCCCCTGGAGAAGGAAATGGCAATCCACTCCAGTATTCTTGCCTGGAGAATCCCATGGACAGAGGAGCCTGGCGGGCTACAGTCCATGAGGTCACAAGGCAGCCACTAAACAGGTGTATATAAGTCAGTCCCAATCTCCCAATTCACTGCACCCGCCCTCCAGGCCACATCCTTCCTCCCTCTTCAAAACTAGCAATCACATCCTTCCAATCCCCACCTCCATCTTCACGTTTCATTCTCTCCCTCTCCCGCCTCCCTCATCCATCTGTTAAGGACCCTTGTGAATATAGTGGGCCCCCGGATCATCCCCAACAACCTCCTATCTCAAGGGTCTTCGTTTAATCACAAGTGCAAGGCCCCTTCCGCCACATGTGGTAACCCACTTCACAGGGAGTGGGCATCAGGACGGGGGCACTGAGGGGCCCACAGATGGGCACGACCCACTTCCTGGAGCCCGCGGGTCTTTGCTCCCACACTGAGGACAATGAGGGCAAGGCAGCCTTTCCACCCACCCTGGTCTGCTCCCCAATGAGATGAAGGCCGCCTCCATCCAGGTGATGACGAGTCCACCGTTCAGAGACAAGCCTGGTGCCATGTGCCTACCGAGCCCTCCTGGAAGTAGCCTGCTCCCTGCTCTAGGGCAGCGGAAGCCTGTGAAATCCCATCCCCATAAGTGGAAGCGAACTGCTCCCTGCGGGCCTGTTCAGGGCCACACGTGGTGTCTCCTGGTCTAAAGAGAGAGAAGTAAACAGGCAGCTCCCGGTCCTCACTGCAGTGGACACGTTGATCAATGCAAGAGCTTGATTCTGACACACACACAAAAATTCATATTTCCACCCGCAAAGCTTTACAAAGCCTTTGCACAGAACCCTGAAGCCAGAGTATCATCTGGGTCTCACCCTGTTGACCCTAAAACGAGGAGGTCTTTGTGCCTTTATGTCTCTCTGCAAACAGTCCTGACCGAACAAACAAAACGCTGGGAAACTGCCGGCCAAAGGAACCCGGTCAGACCCACACTGCAGAAGTGGGAATGGGACCGCGGGAGAAGCCGTGGAAACAGAACTGACCCCCTGCCCTGCTGGGTCACAGAAGACAAGCATACACACCAGGTCCCCCTGCACTGGGAAAATTAAACAAATACAAAAAAAAAAAAACGACTTCTCATCCTATTTTAAAAACAAGCAAGCACAATGCCACCAGGCCACCTTGTCCCATTCGAATCCTGTAAATGATCAACTCCTTAACACAAAATCAACACCACCATCCCTGGCTTTCACACAAGGCACCTCACGGAGAGTCACAACCTGACTGCACGTGATAGGCTTGGGAGACGATGCTTTTCCTCCATCACAAACAGATGAACTGTAAACAAATTGGGGGGCTTAAAACATGGAAACTTTCTCAGCTCTTGAGTCTGGAGGCTGGAAGTCCAGAAGCAAGCTATCAGTCGGCCACCGTCCTCCGAAGGCTCCAGGGAGGGTCCTCCCCTCCTCGTCCTGGCTGGTGGTGGCCGTCAATCCGGACCTTCTCTGGCCTGCAGCTGTGTCACTCCAACCCCTGCCTTCTTCGTCACGTGGCCGCCTTCTCCCTGTGTGGCTCTGGGTCTCTCTCCTCTTGTCAGGACACTCATCGCATCGGATTGGGGGCCCACCCTCCTCTAGGATGACCGCATCTCAACCCCATTACATGGAGGACCCTATGTCCAAATATGGTCCCCTTCTGAAGTATTGGGAGTTAGGACTTGCATGTATCTTTTGGGGAACACACCTGAACCCATAAGATTCAGTAACCTTTTCTTTCCATGAGCCAGCCCTGTTAAAAGTCCAGACTCTCTACAAAGCATCTCTCCTTTTCTCCAGGCCTTCCCCTCCAAGGCTCCTTCCCACCCCTGCGATGTGTAAGCGGGACGCGTCCCACGCCTGGGAGACAGGGCCTCCTCACTGCGCCCCCAGGACCCCCAGAGGCCTGGCCTCTCAGGCAACCTGTTCCAAAACTGCCTGACACTGCTGCTTGCCCCAGATAACTGTGTTTCCTCACTTCACGTCAAACGAAGAAGAAATCCATTTTGCTCTTCAAAAGGGAGCTCACAAACCAGAAGCCTCAGGCAGGTAATGAACGAACAAAGCTGCTTGGAGGGGGCCGTGGGTGACCCAAAGATAAGGTGACCCCACGCGCCTTCTAATGGGGACACATGGTCCGTTTCTGCCACTGCCCCCAGGAGGTCAGGCCAGCCTGGGTGCCAGCGAGTTTCCAGTTTTTTGAGAGAAATAGGACACTTCTGATTTCTCAGTCTTGGCAACCAACCCAGGTTTATTTTAAGCTCCGTGTGGGCTGCACACACCTCTGCAGACTGTATTTGGTCTGCCCATTGGCAACTTCTGTCCTTCCTTACTTAATGTCTCAAAAATAGAATTTTCCTGTCTTCTGCGCTTTTGTGGCATTTCCGGAGGGTTCGTCCACATGAGAATGTTTTTGCTTCCCCCTGCTCGCCGCCCCTCCAACCCCGACCATCAGCCACGACTTTCCAGGAAGTCCTCCCCTTTACTCACCCACCCTTGTCCTCATCCACCCCTTGCCCTGGGATTCAGTTCCAGTGAGCGTGTATCTGAGGACCAGCTAGGCACAGGGATCCAGCAGGGACCCAAACAGATCCCAACCCGTCTACCCCGGAGGCAGGTGCGGGGCCTAGGCAAAGAAGGGACACGTGTCATGAATGGATGAGTGACGACAGTGGAGGCCAACCCGCTGGGGGTGGGAGCCAGGAGCAGCGGCCCCGACAAGGCTGTCACAAAGGTGGTGGAGTGGCAGCGCCTACTCGGGGCCAGGAACCACACAAGCTTCCTGCCAAGGGGGACAGACGCGATCAGCAACACAATACAGACAGGGACGTGAGCCAGGAAGAAAAAGCGAACAAAGAAGATGGGTGGGAAGCGGGGGAATGTGGATTCTCACATAGTGTGGTTTGGCAAGGTCTCACTGCAGGGGCAATCTGTGAAAGCAGATGAAGGAGAAGAGGGAGATGGCTGAGTGGAGGGCCGGGGAGCACTGTGGGCCCAGAAGAGCACGTGCAAAGGTCCTGGGGCTGAAGCATTCCTGGAATATGTGGGCCCAGTGAGGTCAGTGAGTGTGACCGAGGGAATGGAGCCAGGGACACAGTGTGAAGCACAGTCTAGGTCATAACAAGACTGGGGGTTTCACTCTGAGTGAGAGGGAGGCACTGCAGGTTTTTGAGGATCATTCTGGCTGCTCGGTTGAAAACAAATCCCGGAGGGGCAAGAGGAAGGCAAGGAGACCAGTTAGGAGGTGCCTACAATGATCCTGAAGAGAGGATGCTTGGAGCAGGGTTGGGGAGCAGTTGGAGGTGCTGGGAACACGCACACACCACATACACACACTCAAACACTTTATTGTTATTGAAACTTCCAAAGAAAAGCAGAGTAGTGTAATAACTTTATGTGCCCACCAGCTCTGACTGGTATCTATTCACACTCAAGCTTACTCCATATCTCTCATCTGAGAGGGTAATAGGCAGGAAGGCCAGGTGTCTCCAAATGGAGGAAACAGGCTGCAAGTATCTCATAAAATTCTGTGTTGCTATGACGACA